GTTGTGTCATTTCCTGGTCCCATTTCTGCCATTTCCGGGTCCATTTTTGCCATTTCCTGGTCCCGTTTCTGCCATTTCCGGGTTCCTTTTTGCCATTTCCGGGTCCCTTTTTGCCATTTCCGGGTCCCTTTTTGCCATTTCCAGGTCCCTTCTTGCCATTTCCGGGTCCATTTTTGCCATTTCCCGGTCCCATTTCTGCCATTTTAGGGTCCATTTTTGCCTTTTCCAGGTCCCTTTTTGCCATTTCCTGGTCCCGTTTCTGCCATTACCGTGTCCCATTTTGCCATTTCCTGGTCCTGTTTTGCCATTTCCGGGTTCTTTTCTGCCATTTCCGGGTCCCGTTTTTCCATTTCCTGGTCTTTTTTTGCCATTTCCTGGTCCCGTTTTGCCAATTTCTGGTCCTTTTTTGCCATTTCCTGGTCCTGTTTCTGCCATTTCCTGGTCCCGTTTTGCCATTTCTGGGTCTCTTTTTGCTATTTTTGGGTCCCGTTTTGCCATTTCCGGGTCCCTTTATGCCATTTCCGAGTCTCATTTTGCCATTTCATTTTGCCATTTCCGGGTCCCTTTTTGACATTTCCGGGTCTTTTTTTGCCATTTCCGGGTCCCATTTTGCCATTTCCGGGTCCATTTATGCCATTTCTGTGTCCCATTTTGCCATTTCCAGGTCCCATTTTGCCATTTCCGGGACCCTTTATGCCATTTCCGAGTCCCGTTTTGCCATTTCCGGGTCTTATTTTGCCTTTTCTTTGTCCCTTTATGCCATTTCCAGGTCCCGTTTTGCCATTTCCTGGTCCCGTTTTGCCATTTCGTTTTGCCATTTCCGGGTCCCTTTTTTCCATTTCTGGGTCCCTTTATGCCATTTCCGGGTCCTGTTTTGCCATTTCCGTGTCCCTTTTGCCATTTCCGGGTCTCTTTTTGCCATTTCTGGGTCCCATTTTTGCCATTTCTGGGTTTCTTTTTGCCTTTTTCGGGTCCCGTTTTGCCATTTCAGGGCCTCTTTTTGCCATTTCCTGGTCCTGTTTTGTCATTTCCTTGTCCCTCTTTTCCATTTCTAGGTCCCATTTTTGCTATTTTTGGGTTTCTTTTTGCCATTTCCGGGTCCCGTTTTGCCATTTTCTTGTCCCTTTTTTGCCATTTTCTGGTCCCTTTTTCAATTTTCGGGTCCAAAATTAGGGTTTACAGGAGGGTTAGGTGGGTTTCCCAACACATTTATACCCTCTACATATTTTTTATAGATAGTACTAAAGTAGGACTACTTGTAGCCCATGTTGCAAATCGACTAATTGATTACTTGATTTTTTATGATTTTTTGAAAAAATCAGAAGAAATACAATTTTGCCATTAAGTAGCACTTGCCTTGATATGTTCACACACCAAGTGGGAGGGTATC